CCCCAAAACCCCAAAACCCCAAAACCCCAAAACCCCGGAACAACGGATCTTCAAGATTTTTGTAATTTAGACAGTTTAACAGATAAAATATTAAACATTAAAATGCTAGATAACTTAGAGTTAAACTCATTTGGTCATCATTAGTAGCATCCTACACTTAACCAAGCTTAGTTGTAAAAAATGCTCTCTCCTATGCATAAATCACTTCCGACTTCATAAACTCAACAGAATACATAGGCGAAACAAGATTAGTAAATAGTATAATCAAAAATATATGTTTGGGGAAGTATTAATAATCTAAATTAATTGAGATCAAACAGTAAAAGTGGCAATAAGAGATTAATTTCTGCATCTAATTCAACATCTCAAAATGATTTTGATAAAGTTGAGTATATCTACAAATTCAAGAATAATGCGATTGTGAATGTTAATTGTGGGAAAAATCATATTGCTATGATATCTAAAAAAGGAGAATTATATATGCTAGGTTAAAATGACTATGGATAGCTTGGTGTCGATAGTGATGAGTTTGAAACATAAATAGTTTAACCACTCTAGATATCATCTCTTTATTACAAAGGATTAATAATAGACTAAGTTTCGTGTGGATTTTCTCATACAATAGCAGTTTCTAAAAATGGCAAAGTATTTTCATGGGGATATGCTAAATTTGGTTAGCTTGGACATCAAAACTTCGACAATAAATCAAAGCCTACTGAAATTTCCTTTTTTACTTCGGCCTATTAATCATCAAAAGAGATATTGCAAGTATAGTGTGGCGCTCATCATTGTGGTTTGCTTGATTCTTAAGGAGATTTATATATGTGGGGAGCTGGCGAATTAGGATAGCTTGGCTCTACAAATAGATTTAATGAGAATAAACCTTTTTTATTGAGAAAAGTAACACAACAAGGTGAGAAGATTAAAGAAATTGCATTAGGGTATTATCATACCTTGATTTTAACAGACTTAAGTAGAGTTCTTTAAACAGGAATAAGTGAAAAGGCTTTGAAAATATCATAAAATTAAAATGACATAAGTACTTATTTTTGCGATGTAGCTTGCTTGAATAATTAAATCGAAATTCTCTCCATTAAAGCAAAAGATATGTCTGCAGCTTTAAATAATGCAGGATAAGTTATGATATGGGCTAGCACTTAATATTTAGATGTGATTGGTGGCATTAAAGACATTGGATCATTTGGGGATACAAAAACTCTAGAAAATATATTCATTCATGATTATGAGCTGTGTAAGGATACTATTATTATGAGAAGTGATGATAAATTTTACAAATATTCAATGCTAGATCAGAGCTTTGTAAATTTTGAGTAAACATTGATATAAAGTTAGCTAAGGCTTACGATTAATAATCTTACCATACTATCTTGTGGTAATCAATTTATCATCGGTGTCGAGAGTAAAAGGAAAAATCTCTCTTAATAATCCAAAACAACTGATGGGAGCTAGAGTTTTAAATAATCATCTTCAAAATCAAGTTCTAGTCACACCTTGAAAAATTTCTAAGAGAGCAATGAGAAATTATCTAATTAGCCATTAAGAGGTGTATTAGCTAACAAAAATTATGCACTTAATATGAATGAATCTGATAACTGCTAATCAGATCTGTAAGTATTCAACAAGTCCTACTATGGTGGGTAAAGTACAGTTGTGAAAAGGTTATCAAGTTATTAGAATACACGAAGTGGTTCGAGAGGAGAAGCTCAATTAAGTATTTATTCAAATGAAAATTTGCAAGCATTTATGTAGTAAAATCAAAATTAAGCCAATGCTTTATTTAAACTCGGATAAAAGATAGAAAACTTAAGCCAATCTTCAATGCTTTTTAATGCAACATAAAACACAAACAATGAGGGACTAAAACACATAAAGTCAGTTATATATGATGATGCAAATGAAGATAATGCTTCATCATTCTCTATGAATTAAACTATGAGATAGAATACTTTAATATCTTATAATGAAAATAACCACTTTAAATACAATGATGTGTAATCATCTTAAATTGAATAAGAAAACCTAACTAGTTCGGGTAAAATGGACATACATGAGAATATAAGTTCAATTTTAGGTCCTAAGAGTTTACGAATTTCATATGATGAGCTAAGATGTGGACCGATTTCTGACTTAACGACATCAAGAAGATAAAAAGAAAGCAATGGTGAAATATCGAGATCATAAACACCTGAGGATGAATCAGAGCAATTAAGACATAGAAATCAGCTAGTCTCTTTTAGAAATATTGAAGATAATCAAAATTATATGAGACATAATCCATAAGGATCAGAAGATTTTGCAAACATTTAATCGAAAAACGCATTATCAGAGAAGAAAACTGGTAAAAAAGAAAAGGTAAAGGAAGCCCTTCATTAAGAGATTAGACAAAGAGTAATGATAGAATAATAACTAATGAAGTTATAATAAGAATTCGACTAGTTCAAAAATGAGGTAGGTGTGGATTAAATGAAATAGGTGCTATAAGAATCATAAAATGAATACTAAAAGCTCTATGAAATTTGTGTAAAAGAATGCGAAAAATCGACAAAGTATTGTGAGCTATATAAAAAAGAAAAAAATTTGAGGGAGTAAAGAGAAAATCAAATCGTAGATTTTAGTGATTAAGAAGAACTATTGAAAAATTAGATAAGACATCTAGAGAATTAGTTATGTCTTTTAAGAGATCAGAAAGATACTGAACAATAATCTTTACAGTAAACTGTAATGGACTAGCAAAAAATAATAGAGGAATTAAGAGAATTAATTAAAATTGAAAAGGAATCTACGAGAGAAAAAGTATTTGATCTTGAGGAGATAAATATCTAACTCAGATAAGAAATATAATTGATTCATGAGTAGAACTAAGGCTAACTGATGATATAGTAATAAACAATTCATCTTTTAAGTACTTAAAATCAAGAATTAAAAGTATCTATGGGACAGCTAAATGAAAAACTAAATAAAATTGATCAGGAAAAAGGAAAGTCTGAAAATCTCTAAAAAGAAAATATGAGCTTAAGATAAGATTTAAGCCAAGCTTAAAGTGTCTTAAAGACCAAAATAAAAATCATCAATGATTATGATTAATTGTTTTCTTAGTTGAAACAGTAAGAATAGGACTAGAATGATTGCTAGCAATTATTGAATCAATAAAAATCTTAATTGCCTTCATTGAATGATGTAAAAAACAAGACACTCGAAATAGAGATTACCAATAATTAAAATAATAATACTTCACTTTTAGCTTAGTTATAATAAACAACTGCATATACCACTCCATTATTTAAAAATAATACAACCCCTAAGTAGGATAGGAATCTTAGTTAAGGTAAGACAAATTTTATAGTGAAAAAGAATCAATCTAATATCACTTCAAAAGTTGAGTGTCATAGTAATAAAGTGGTGACTCCAAAAATAATAAGCTAAACAACAAAAAGTAGTGCTCTTCATTCTAATTATTAATCAAAAAAGCAACCTACTTTGAGTAAATAGACCTCTAATTAAAATACAAATAGTAAAGATACAAAGTAAACTTTAAGTAATCAAAGACTCAATAAAAAGGCTTCGTAAAAATCAATTGAGAATTCTCCACTAAAATTGCAATAAATAATTTAAGAGTAAGATATGAACACACAGAAATTCATTAAAGATATCTCAAAAATTGTTGGAAATCCAGCAATATCTAAAGATTTGAATTAAAGCTAATAAAATCAAGACAATCAGATTTAAGATCAATAAAAAAGCGCTTAAACAAATTAGATAAGTAGTGGATTTAATAAGAAAAAATCGAGATCAAATTCACCTATTGATTATCTTGGCTATAAAGTAAAGCCCAATACACAATACTAGCCAAGATTATCTTCCTCAAATGCCTCTGGTTCTTAAACACAAAGGTTATAGAATAGGCATGTACACATAAATCTTGCATAATCAAGAAATCTAGTTTAAGCGATTCTCCCATCTCCGAAAATTATTAATACATATGATGATGATTATAAGACTCCTAGTACATACTCTCTTAATATAACACCAGTTATTCAAAGTAGCAGAGGCAATAATATGAATGCTACTTTTATAGCTTAGGGATAAAGAAATTCTATCTTTGAAAACGATTTTAACACTCAGCATTATATTAGTGGTAATAGTAATTCAAAACCATAACAAAATTTGAGCAAATCTTTTGATGGACATCAGAGTACTGTAAGCAAGAAGCAGGTAAAATTTCAAATTTTGACTTAAAGCTGCCCAAAGCCTGATGAAAACTCCTAATCCTAAACTTCATTTATGAAGGAATAAAATTAACCATTAATTTCAAGTTTCATAAAGGCAGATGATAATCCTATAGTTAAAGATGAAAGCGAAATAGAGAAACTTTATGAATCTCTATCTTAAGATATGAAATCATTGTAGGGTTAAAACGTAGATAATCTTAAAGGCAAACTAGAGCAAATTAGGAAAAACAAATCTCTTCTAGAGGAAAAGATAAAAGAGTACGAGAAGAAACTTGGAAAATGATTAACATAATATTATCTCAATTGAACATTGAATCAATGAATGTGAAATATTTTTGTAGATGATTTAAATTTATTAAATTATGATTTAAATGTAGTCTATTAAATAGTAATAATATTTAAAATTTAATATGGTCTAGTAAACACGTATCATTTTGTCATTATTAGCCTTACTTGGTCTATATGATATGACAGTAAATGCAAAGCCTCTTCATTCATCAATGAGGGTAAGGTTTAATCCAGAGTTAGTCAGGAGCATTTTTAACAAAAAGGATCAAATGGCTTTAAATGCACTAGAAAACATGACATTAGGCTATCTTGAACTCAGCAACGGCCTTTTATTGTAGGATGTGAAGGTATCTATCCTTCCAGAGAGTGTTTCATTCGATGAATACAACTTCATAACTAACTTTGATGAATCTGATTTTGTTGGAATAGAAGGAAAAGATTTGAAATTCTAAGGAGTCGGGTATATTCATCATAAAGATGGAGAAACAGTCAACAAGGAAGAAGTACAGTTATCAGGTCCTATAGATAAACTTAGAGTATCTTTTGAACTTTATGATAATGGAACTACTAAAGCATCAAGATGCAAGGGATACGACTTTGAGCTTGAATCAAGCAAGATTTAGGTAACAGTTGCAGGGGAATCAAAGTCATTAGATGGAGAAGGAGTAATAGATCAAATTAGGAATTGGGCTAGAGAAGAATTAATAAATCAAATTAAGCTCATTGTTGATGATTTTAGAAGTGGAAGTTTAAGCTATTTATAAAAAATGCCAGTGTTGAATATGACTCCACTTGTTGGTTTGTTCCACCTTACAAGTACAGCAGAGAATGTATAATTGAGCAATGAATTCCTTGAGTATGGTTTTTCACCAAAGAGTTTGCAATTATTGAAAGAATCAAATGATGATTTGCTAAATGAAATTTAAACTGAATTTGAAGTTATGAACGATCAAGATCAAGATAAATTTAGAGCTTTCTAAGTTCTTATTGATGAAAACTTCCCTAACGCTGCATTCACAAAGATTGTAGCCAGTGATAGAAAATTCAGTTTAAGAGAATTACTTTCAAGTGAGCCAAGATTCGCCATCTTCTCATAACTTCTAACAACTTCAACTGTGGGAATGGTTCTTCCTTCATTCAAAGAGGAATTCGGATCTCATAAACCTGTTGATATTGTTGCTACAGTAAACCATGAAAGTATCAAAGAAATAAGTGATTCATTTCCACTCAGTGGATTCACTCTTGACCAAAAAGGAAATTTCAAGGTCTCCTTAAATATTGCTGCAAACATCATAGTTGAAAAGAAAACTGGCAAATGGGTTGATACTAGAAGCGCAGTTTTGACTATTGCATTGAAAGGAAAGATTTTTACTGCTGATGATGAATTTGAAAATAGGACTTTAGTTGTTATGCCAAGGGGTATTGAACTTAATAACCTTAAGATATTCAAAGGAGATGAAGAGCAATTCTTAGAACAAACTCTCGCTCAATCATTGATTGGTGTTCAACTTGAACAATTCAAGAAGCAACTTAAACCACAAATGTTCCCTCTTAGAAATTTCACAAATCCACCTGAGTTGTAATGCCTTGGATTTAATCTCACTAATGTTGATGTCAAGGTAAACAAAGGATATATGCAAATAAGCTGCAACTATAAAAATATAAATTTCGAAGATCTCTCAGAGCACAGAAAAGAAATGTGCTCAGCTTTTGAGTTCACTTTAAGATAAAGCCCAGAGTAATTTGGAGAAATTATGTCAAAGTATGTTCCAGGATTGAGTCATTTGAAGAAAGCTAGTGAGGGTAACCTCAACTTTGATGGTATTAGAGCTGCTAAACCAGAAGAAAGTCCAGCTTACAACTAAAACAAACAAAAAGGGGATCAAAAAGTTAAAAATAGAAAGAGTATCCTTGAAGGCCTTCCTGAAAATTTAAACATCCCTGATCATATCGCTGAAGAATTAGCTAATGATGAAGCTAAAGGAAAAAAGAAGAGACAGGCTAGTTCTACAGATGACTTATGAAAGTTTTGGATATGGGACTAATATACTTAGTGATCTTATATCAATGGTCATATAATTACATTTTTAAACTAAATAAGAATTTCAATTTTATCTTCTCAAATTATTATTTATCTTTCCACTGGGGTTTTGGGGTTTTGGGGTTTTGGGG